TTTTGTGGAGTATATATAAACCCTACTCATCCTTACCTACTGATTCAGCCTATGTCTCAATTCATGTATCTACACTCAGAAAACACCATTGTTGCAAGGTTGTGTTTATATTACTATTTACTTCTATCCTTTGTACTCCATGCATACCTCTCTGTGCCTAAATCTATCTTCATTATTCTTATGCTACCGTCCGTCTTCTTGTATATTGCCCTACCCAAACTAACATGCCTACCCTCTAGACAGTGAATTACTCTCCCCTCTCTCCAACCCCGGTTACCAAAAAAGAATGTTTCTTTTTGTTTGTAAACCTCTTCTTAAGTTTTTATAATTATGGCCTCATATAATATTTGTTCTTTTGTAATTGACTAATTTCACTCAGCATAATGTCTTCCATGTTCATTCAAGTTATGAGGTGTTTCTCAGACTCATTGTAATTCTTCAACTTGGCATACTATTCCATTATGTGCAGCTACCAAAATTTGCTTATTCATTCTTCCACTGTTGAGCACTTAGGTTGCTCCATCTTTTTGCTATTGTGGATAGTGTTGCAACCAACATCAGTGTGCATATATCTACTAGTGTCCTGGTTCATATTTCTTGTAGATATATACCAATGAGAGGGATTGCATGTCAAAAGGTATTTCTATTTTCAACTTTCTCAGGAATCTCTATACCATTTGCTAGAGTGGTTGTAACATTTTATAGTCCCACTAGCAATGTAGAAAGGTCACACTCTTCTCACCCTCACTGCATTTGTTATTTTCTGATTTTTTTTTTTTTAACTTCACTGTTAATGTTGGTGTGAGATTATATCTCATTGTTGTTTTGATTTACATCTCTCTGTTAATGCACTGGACTGCAAAATTGGTTTGAACCACAAGCTGTTCAAGATCACCAGCTACTCCTCATAAGCCCTATACAGGGTCACTCTGGGCCATAACCAACTCAACAGCACTTAACAACAACAACAACAATGGCTAGTGTTCATGAAATTTCTTCATATATTTGTTGGCTGTCTGGATATCTTCCTTGATGAAGTGTCTGTTCAAGTCCTGTGCCAATTTTTAAATTTGTGTGTTTGTTTTTTCTTGTAGTTTACTATAAATTTTAGTTATTATTCCATTATCCGATATGTCATAGAAAAAAGTTTTTTCTCAGTTTGTGGACTCCCTTTTTACTCTTTTTTCTCTTTTTTAATGCTTTACTATGAATTATGTGATAGTTTACATGGGAGAACATTAGCTTTACATTCATCCTAACTTATATCATTCCATTGCCATGGTAACAATCCCCTTCATGCATCACCAACCAACCAAAGGGTATACCCTGCAAGCCAGTCCCCTTGGTCGTCAGCACACAGCCCCTCTCCCTTTCTGGGTCTAAAGTCCCCAGCCACTACATCTCTCCACATTATCGTCTCTGCCTTCATCTCTGGCTTCACTGCTTCTCTGGATAGGTCCTGCATTCCGCTCTTCTCCCTTGATGGTCCCAGGGACCACCATGCCTAGACTGCAAAGTCAATCACTTCCCTCCTTTTGCTGAAAGACATCT